GGCGTAGTGCTTAATATATCTAGATTATACGCTGAAGTGTTATGGTTCGAGTCCCACTGGAGGTGTTAATAAGACCTAAGCGAGGTCGAAATTGTAGTCCACCCTGGATGAGAATAACTTTTTGGAAGGCAAGGCTATGCGAAATTCAATGTAGACCTAAGATCTACTTATATAATTGTGGGAAAGTTCAACCAGGAGTCCTTTTATGGCCATAAACGATCTAGGATTAATACATCTCATACATACCGGTAAGAAGCTAAGTAAGACTTTATCAATAGACTCAAGGAGAGAGATCCGTATTGCAAAAGAGAGACGATTCAAGTGTTCTTTGATTGTCATTGTTTAATTTACCTTCCATTTTTTTGTACACTTTAGTCCACTTTTTTCTCTTGCACAAAGACAAAAAGCTCGTCAGCTTAACCTGACTTGTGTCCGACATTACGTAATCAGAGTGATGGTTAAAATATGAAGGAACTGGAGTGGTAGTGGACATTAGACCTTGATAACCGAGGGTAGACGCTACGTTCTGCTATTCCTGCTTGTAGTTAGTTAGCAATGCTGTTCTTGTACCTATTCGAACACATGAATGCATATAGACACACAAATATACATACTTCCATGCCTTAAATTTTATTTTTAAATCTAACTAACTAATTTACTTTAAACCTCAGCAAAAGGGCACAATTATGGGGTATATATTCGGCATTTATGGATAAGCAGGAGAATTTGCCTGACACTTAAGTTTGAATATGGTTGTAAGAATGATATCCTTCTCTGACTATGTCTGTCATATGATGGACGAATGCTTGGCATGTTTCCATCGGAAGTGAATGGAATTGCCTCGGCAACGGCGTCAGAACTAATGTTCCAGTAAAGCCACCCGACGTTGTCTTTTGGTAGGATCGACCTTTGAATCTCTTTACCAAACGCTTTCACTCAAAATGGAAGTGACAAACTATTTTTGTGTGTTCTCACTACCAAATAACCAGAATCGCATGCCACAAACTTGGCATACATATCAAATGGGGCAATGATATGAGGCTAATGCATGCTAATTACTCATTTGAAGGCTGTTTCCATCTTTTTCAGCCGTCCCTGGTTAATACTTATCTCAGCCGTCCGGAGCTTTGTCCGACCAAAGAAAACGTCACTTCGCTTGACAACGCTACACTTCAATTCGGTCCCTCGACCTCAGGCTTAGTCCTACCATCTTCCATCTCTGTATCCTGTTACCAGTCCTGTTCATCTACTGTTTCTTACTGCATAACTAAGCCTGCCTCAGATTCCAATAATAATGCAGCTTTCTCTGTGGCCTACACTGGAGCCTGTCCGAGGCACTTAGTGGACGCCTCTCTGCTAGATTCAGGCATTGACCCGTCGGTGCCAAGAAGCTCAGACCGGAAGGCTCCAGAGAAAAGCAAAGAACAAGAAGACCAGATTTCCAGTCCACTCAGCTCTTGGTCCCGGAAGCAGAAGCAGCATAATCACGATCGTGGTCGCCACCGTCTGCAACATGTGTCTACAACGCCGGAGCATCCATCCATTATGGCCCGATATCATGGTACACCACTTCCGCCTGGCATGCCTTCGACTGTTGAGAGGTTTGATGAAGCGTCAGGTTCAACAACAACCGATTTTCAGCCTGAAGTCCTGACAAGACAGGAGATACTTTTGTCGAGCAGGAGTCAGTCTGGCTTGGTCGATTTTGCAGGTGCTTACAGACAAACTGACAGTTCAGATCTTCCAATAGCGCATGAGGCCGGATTTCCGCCGGAAGCATCGTTGCAATCGCGGCATCCTCAACTGGGCGTAGTCTCTTCGCTTCCAACGGTAGTCGCACAGTCCAAGTCAACTCCTCGATCTCCTTCGCAGAGGCCACCGCCTTTGCCACCGCGGCTTCGGACAGCCAGATGCCTGGAGGCGGGATATTTTGTACCTTACCGGCTGGTAGATGAGACGATGGGGAGAACTGAGCAAGCGACGCGGATTCCTGATCCTTTGGCTTCCTGGTTGGCCAACAGAGACGGTCTTCAGTCGAGCAGAGATAGCAGAGCCACAGATTCCGGACTCAGTGCTATAGTTACCAGAGCGCTTGTAAGTCACTCGACTGTTAATTTACTTGAATATCCAACTAAACATTTGTGAATACGCTTTAAATACATAAAACATGCACACATTTGGAAGACCAGACCACAAAGGTTTATTCGCTATTTTAATCATTTATTGCAATATTAGTCGTTTTATACTTGGTTTTTCGAGATTTTCTCTATGTGAAGTGCATTCACTCTATATATGGGATATGATCACTCTTTTTCGCTTAAGGTGATGAAGGACTGATAGTTTAATTTTCCCACATTGATAGGATCAGACTTTACAGTTTCATTGAATTTCGCATAGCCTTGCCTACCAATAAGGTATTCTCATCCAAGCAGGCGTGGACTGCAGTTTCGATCTCGCCTACGTCCTAGCAACACCCCCAGTGGGACTTAAACTGTGACAGTACAGTGTATAATATCAACACATTGCCTACTACGCCAAACTGCCACGAGTGCCCTTGGATGAATATATATCATGTATATGATATACTGTTAGCCTCGAAAACCTACTTATAAACGAAAAATAAGCCAACCCTTTACCATAGAAAATTTTTGTAATGAGGCCTTCGATTTATCAAACTTGTGTATGCTATTACAGCCCAATATATAGTTAAATTTGTAGTTGACACGTTTCGAAACCACCAGTGGATCTGTATTCACTTTATGTCGCATAAAGTGGTGAAGAAATCATAGTTAAACTTTTGGTTTCATTAAGCTTCAAAAGCTTTACGCGCCAAAAGGTTTTCTTATCCAGGTTGGACTATATGACTGGCCTAGGCTGACTAAAACCATTATTCAAGATTCAATAAGAGTTTAAAAACTTACCTATAATGGATATCTTGGTATCCTTGTTTTTACTAATCTCTTTAAGTATGTTTATTGAGGGGGGATCAACTGTGTCACCTGTTTTGCATTCTGTGTTCAGGGCTTCTTTATCCCAATTGGTTTTTCATTTATTTTGTCCCTATCTGACTGGCCAGCTGTACCTCGTCAATCCCGGTCACCGTATACGCCTTAATTGGAGATTTATTCAAATGACCCGCCCCGAAAATATGAACAGTGGTCAAGATTTAACGGTTATAGTTGAGCTTGAACGATTAGCCGATAAATGTGACCTACTGAATGTAAAACCAATTGGGACCAAGAGGCTCCGCAAACAGGATGCTAAATTGGGGGCGAAAGTGATTATGTTTCACTAAACCAACTTGGAAAATATTGGGTGAAACGAAGATACCGACAAGAATGAATAGAAAACTTGGCCATATAGTATAGGATTTCGGGAAGCGGATGTAGCATTAGGGGTCAAGGACAAGAAGAGAAATATTAAGGTCGTTAAACAAAAAATGTGTCCACAGGATTTCCTTTACTTGTCACTATGACGACTTGCAACTTTAGCCTAAGAATGGCGCCCCTGATTGGTGATGCCAGCTAAAGGTCTGGGAATATATAAACTAACCGGTAATATGCTGAATAACATCCCAACGACCATGGCAGAGGACTCATGACTGGCTACATTTCACATGGTCTGCCTGTCGCCCTGAACTACTTGTAAAAATGAGGTCATACAAATTGATTGGAGAGAAAAATAAATGGAGCCAAACTCCAGGCCACATATTCTTTGTCTTTCTATTCGTTCAGTACTTCTCATCGGGGAGGAACTTGACTTTCCACTTCTCCATGGTCTCATCAGCATCCCCAACGGAAATCTAACCCGGGCTGTTCAAAGTATAGTCTCGAGTTCGAGTCCACCTGGGGGTGCTGATGAAGCCAAGGCAAAGTCGAAACCGCCGTTCAGTTCAGCCTGGAAGAGAATACATTTTGAGAAGTCAGGCTACGCAAAGTTCAATTGAAAAATAAGGCCTACTCATGTAATTGTGGGAAAATTCAATTACCAGTCCTTCAACATCTTAAATGAAATAGCTTTCAAGCATCTCATTTATATGGCATACTGGCAGCCTCTAAAACCCATTTATGAAACGAAAAATGAGATTGAAATTTTAAACACACAGTTTCTTCATCGACAATCTCACTACAAAAGTGTGATATTGGTCTTGCCTGGCTTGATGTTAATATTACTATATTAAGAGATTCCTCGAAACTCAGCTTCTATTAATATATATAACACTCAAAACCACGTCTGCCCTATGACTGCCCGGCCCCTTGGCAATTTGGCGTGTTGGTAAAATGTCGAAATCAGACTCTGTAAAAACATGGATACGCAAAGCTCTGAGATAGCGGAACACATTGTACGAACGGGACACGGAATCGGCTGGAAAGCGACAGGAAGACAGACTGAATGTGGTGAAAATACAAGAAAACGCAAGATCTGAGAGGCCATCAAGATACTGATCGAAAGATATCTGATGAACTGGAGGCTTGAAGAAGGCAGGATTAGCGGAGACTTTGCATATTGCCTAGGCAAACTCGGAGAAGATCAGGCAACAGTGAGATCAACAAAAAGAAGACAACTGCATCAAAGTAACATCTTTAATTTTATGAAAATAAACCGCAATTAAGCCAGAAAGGAACAATCGGAAGCCAATAGGAGACGTCTACAGTGAGCCTAATCAAAACTAGTTGAACTAAAACATTGGTGGGT